AGGCCGATAGAGTCCTTCGGGTCTCGGAAGGTCTCGTGTGTGGCCTCCCGCGTGAATTCTCTCGGCGTGGATACGGACCTCAACCTGCGGCCGCTCCCTTTCTCCTGCTCCGGCAGGAACTCGATCGAGACTCTCTTCTCCTCGCCGATGACGCCGCTGGAGGCGCTGCGTCGGAGGGGAATCCTGATGACTACGTGTGTCGTGGTCTCGCTCGCTTCGATCGTCTCGATGGGCGACGTTGGGCGGTTCCAGCCCGCGTTGAGGTCAGCTCTCGTGTCCTTCGCCACTTTCCCTTCTATCCTGACATGTTGGATGGACTTATCATCCTCGGGGGTGACTCTCTTTGCATCTTTTTTAGCAGCCTCCTGTTGCGTCGCCGCCTCTGTCGCTCCAGACGCGAGCTTGACGTCTTCGTCCGCCCGCGGTCGAGGGGGCGCCGGAGCGACTTGGGCTTTGAGGGTCACCTGCGGCGCTTTGGCAGAGTGCGAGAGCTTCTCCTCGTGTACGGGCGTGAGGGAGGTGGACCTCTTGTGGCCGGTGACGCCGCCCATCGGCACATGCCGCTCCGGGAAGGCCGTTTCGGGGGCGGAGTGTCGGCTGGTCGGCGAGACCGCCTGGCCACACGCGGTCCCCGCGGCCACTTTAGCGCCCTTCCGCTCTAGGGTGTCGGCGGCGGAGGTGTGGCCGTCGCTGTCCAGCTCAGGGATCGATTCCAGGGAATGCATGGAGACGATGGAGTGGCGGGACTTCCCTCCGGCCGCGAGATTGGGCGGCGACACGCTCCTCTGGGCGAGGCGGGCGTCGGGAGGGGGCGAGATGTGCGAGGAGAAGGTGGAGGAGGCTCTCAAGGGAGGAGAAGACGGTGGAACCAGCTTCGGGAACACCGACTGCTTCCGGGCGGCCTCCGGCGAGGGGGGCGTGACCGTTGTGCGAGCGCGGAGGACCGGAGGCGGTGACGCGGGCGCCTTCACACCGGGTTCAGACGGCTGGTGTCTGACAGAGGACGGTGATGGCGGGGGCGTAGCGAGCTTCTCGCCGTCAGGCGCGCCGGAGGGGCCCATCGACGAGGCCACAGCGCCCACTGGAGAGCGGGAGCCCGCTCGCCTTCCCGCGGCGGCCGGGTTCGTCTTGATATTAGGCCTCTGCGCCTTCCGCGCCGGCGTTGGCGACGAGGACAACCGGCCGGCCGTGCCCATACGGGGGCCCGGCGGAGTGCGGCGCCCCGATGGTGAGATAGGGCGGGCTGGGGCAAGGCTCGAGAGACTCGAGGTGGAGCTCGAGGGCGTCGACAACATGGAGGCCCGGCCGTCCGGGGAGACGGGGCGCTCCGCGACCCCTCCCCCTCCTCCTCCTCCGGTCCATCCAGGTAAGCCCGGGGAGGCAGGGGGAGTCACCACTACAGGGGAGGGCGAGGGAGAGGAAGTGTCGTCCCGGTCGGTCGTGACCACCTCCGGCACGACTACGCCTGCGGGAGGGGACGTTAGGGCGGCCAGAGGGCCCTTTGGGGAGAGGGTCCCTCGCGGGTTCAAAGGAGGCTTCGTCGTGGCTGCCGTCTTGTCCGAGCGCCACGACCCGAGGTACGACCCCTGAACGCTGCCCCCTAGCGTACCGCTTAGCGTGCCCCCTGACGTGCTCCCTGGCGTGCTCCATGGCGTCCCCCCTAATGTTCCCCCTGGCGTACCCCCGAGCCTGCTGTAGCCGGCGTACCGCGACGCCACGAGACTCTCGACGGCCGAGGCCGGTTTCGTGCTGGGCGACCGCCACGTTGGCCTCACGTACAGGGCGGGCGCCGCCCCCTCACTCTTCCCTTCCCTCTCCTCCTTCTGCCCTTTCTCTATCCCTTCATCCTTGACTTCCGTCCCTTCAGTCCCTCCTCTCTTCTCGCCCTTCCGCTCCTTCTCTTCACCCCGCCCCCCCTCCCTGCCACTCTGGGCCCCCCCCTCGCCGTCGCTCCCCCGCGGACTCTGGGCGACAGGTTGGAGGGGCGGCGGAGGCGAATCAACATTATCGCTGCCTTTTGGCGTCGACGGCCCTCGCTCCCCCTCCTCCTGCTTCTGCTGCCAATCCCCTCCTGAGCGCCGCCCGTCGAGAGTCTTGCTCTTCCTGCTTTCCCCTGAGCTTCCTGATGAGGATGACTCCTCCTCCTTCTCTCCTGCTCCTCCTCCTCCTCCTTCCTCCTTAAGACCCTCGATGGAGCGGCTCTTCCTGAAGATCGACTTGCTAGCTTTTTCCTCCTTCGTCTTCCTGCCGGTACTTTCCCTCTGCTCCTTATTCTTCTCCTCCCTCGTTATCTTCTCCCTCTTCTTGTCCTTGGGCGCGCCACCGCCGTCGCATTGCTTGTCCTTGTCCTTGTCCTTGTCCTTGCTCTTGTTCTTAAAGAATCCGAACATAGCGTGCAGCTCCTCAAGATGCTGCAACACTCACACTTGTCTTCACGCCGAGAGGACCATGGTCGTGTCTGCGGGTCGTTTTCTGCGTCTGAAGGACCTTACTGTCACAGCTGCAATTTCAGGAGGAATAAGGAGAAAAACTGGGATGAGTCGAAATAGAAAAAAAAAATAGAAAGACGTGTTATGTGAAAGAAAAGTCGCAACAATGTGTCATAAGTTTTTCTTTTTCACTTTTTTTTTCTTCTCTTTTCTTTTTCTTTTTTTATTGTTTTTTTTTTCTCATTTGATATGTTCGATTTTTCTATCCTTTTCTTTTTCCGCTTCTCTTTCTGTTTGTTTTTTTCTGCTTTTATCTTCTTCACCTTTTTATGTTCTTTTATTCTTTTCTTTACTTTGTTTTCTTTTCCTTTGTAAACCAAGATTTGTTCTAGCACAATATATTTTCACATCTTTTCTGTCTCCGATGTACGAAAAATATATATTCTCTCTCTCTCTCTCTCTCTCTCTCTCTCTCTCTCTCTCTCTCTCTCTCTCTCTCTCTCTCTCTCTCTCTCTCTCTCTCTCCCTCTCTCTCTCTCTCTCTCTCTCTCTGTTGTTATATTGTACAGTCCCATGTATTTACGGTAAAATGAAAGCTAGAAAAGGAAAAGGAAAGAAAGAGAATGGGAGGAAAATAAAGAATTAGAGGGGAAGAAAGGAAAGAAAGAGGAAGAAGCGAGATAAAAACAGAGGAATAAAGAAGTAAAAAAAGACGAGTGAGAGAAGAGAGAGAGAGAGAGAGAGAGAGAGAGAGAGAGAGAGAGAGAGAGAGAGAGAGAGAGAGAGAGAGAGAGAGAGAGAGAGAGAAAGAGAAAGAGAAAGAAAGAAAGAAAGAGAGAGAGACAGACAGACAGACAGACAGACAGACAAAGGCAGAGACAGAGACAGAGACAGAGAGAAACAGAGAAAAAAAAATAAAGAAAGAGACAAAAATAAACGATCCAATTCCGTCCCGAATACCCCAACCCCTCTCACCCTCTCCAATTCCCTCTCATCAACCTCTCTCACTCCACACCTCATTTCTCTTCCACCTTTCCTACATTCCTTAAATTTACTCAGCCGCTCCCCTTCCCCCCTCCCCCCCTAAAGTACCCTCCCTCTAACTCGTATTTTCCCCAGGCCTCTGACGTCAGAACTTGTTGACCTATTTTAGTTATTTTCGTTGCGGTAATTAGGTGAGAAATTAGCATTTGGCAACCCATCTCAACTGTGACGTCACAAGAGGCACGTGCATGTCGTCATAAATAATCTATAATAGGAATGGAAAGAAAGAGAAATAATATTAATAAAATAAGAATAAAAAAGGTAAAATGGAAGAAAGAAAATAATGAGAAAAAATAAGAAGAAATAAAGATAATATATACAAAAAATAAGAAAGAAAAAAATACGAAGATGAGAAAACGACAAAGAAAGAGAGTCATAAAACAAAAGACAATTTTTTTATGTAAGAGGGAGCTTTGAAGAATAAGGAAAAAATATACGTCTGGGTAAATATAAACTCTAACGCAAGAGAAAAGATTGGAAGGAGAATAAATAAATTAATAAAGAAATAATAACGGATATAGGATAAAGGGATAAGCAAACGAGATAAAAAAAAATACAGAAAGATTATGTGGGATTATAATTAAACATTAAATGAATGAATATGTAAGGTCTATTTATCTATGTATGTATGTATGTATGTATGTATGTATGTACATATGTATGTATGTATGTATGTATGTATGTATGTATGTATGTATGTATGCATGTATGTATGTATGTGTGTGTGTGTGTGTGTGTGTGTGTGTGTGTGTGTGTGTGTGTGTGTGTGTGTGTGTGTGTGTGTGTGTGTGTGTGTGTGTGTGTGTGTGTGCTCGTGTATGTATGTGTGTATGTGTATGTGTGCGTGTTTTGTGTGTGTATTAATATTGTAGTCTCCCCTGAAATGTAGTTATATCAGTCTCCCCTAAATATCGCACGGTCACGAATTTCTTGTTTTCATATTTAATGACAAATATTTGTTTATTGCCATAGTTATGTTGTCAAAAACACCTTTAAGTCCTCAGCCCATTGTATACGAGGATTCTTAGGAAACTGAATAAAGTAAGACAAATGAGATTAATAATTAAGCTTTAATGTTATACTAATAACAGCTGTATATAGAGTTTGGCAATGAAATCAGCACGACCTTCATGGACTAAACACGGCAGTAGAGATCCTGTTTGGCCAAGAGATCTCATTCTGGGCTTTAAGTGACTTATATACCGTCGTCAAACCGAGATAGACGGTGTAGCCACGTCTCTATGACAGCAACAAACGTACTAGTGATAAACAACAAGACAATATGAGTGTATGTGTGTATGTGTGTATGCGTGCGTGCGTGTGTGTGTGTGTGTGTGTGTGTGTGTGTGTGTGTGTGTGTGTGTGTGTGTGTGTGTGTGTGTGTGTGTGTGTGTGTGTGTGTGTGTGTGTGTGTGTGTGTGTGTGTGTGTGTGTGTGTGTGTGTGTGTGTGTGCGTGCGTGTGTGTGTGTGTGTGTGTGTGTGGTCACCAGGAGATTACGTGTCACTGGTTTAATCAAAACTTGCCGTCTCGGGTAATTGTTCATGTAATGTGATCACCGTCTTGATCAGTCTTGATCACCGGAAATATTCTACCAGTTATCTTCTCCCCCCCCTCTCTCTCTCTCTCTCTCTCTCTCTCTCTCTCTCTCTCTCTCTCTCTCTCTCTCTCTCTCTCTCTCTCTCTCTCTCTCTCTCTCTCTCTCTCTCTCGCTCTCTCTCGCTCTCTCTCTCTCTCTCTCTCTCTCTCTCTCTCTCTCTCTCTCTCGCTCTCTCTCTCTCTCTCTCTCTCTCTCTCTCTCTCTCTCTCTCTCTCTCTCTCTCTCTCTCTCTCTCTCTCTCTCTCTCTCTCTCTCTCTCTCGCTCTCTCTCGCTCTCTCTCTCTCTCTCTCTCTCTCTCTCTCTCTCTCACACACACACACACACACACACACACACACACACACACACACACACACACACACACACACACACACACACACACATACACGCACACACACACACTTCACATTCTTATACACAATAAATCCTTTATAAGTTTATCAAACTGTTACAGAGTGCGGATCCACACCACAATACCGAATTGATGATGTCACAGACGATGTTACTCTATCTAATATAGCTAAACCCCCCCCCCCCAGCCTATGACACCCCCCCCTTACACCCTACTCTCTTGCCTTCCTTTGCCAAGATCTCAAGGTCTTCCCCCCCTCCCCTCTTCCCTCCCCTTACCTCCCCTTACCTCCCCTTCTTTTCCATTCCTTCCCCTCCTCTCTCTTCGTTTTCTACGTAATCCTTGATCATTTTCTTTTTTTTCTTTTTTCTTTTTTCTTTTTTTTTTGTTGCTTCTTTATCCAGTCTTTATCCATTCTCTTCCTTCTGTGCTTTATACTTTGCCTTGCCCATACCGTTCGTTCTCTTTCTTCTCCCTACTGTTTTCTGATCCTTTCTCTGTCTCTGTCTCTTTCTCCTTCTCCTTCGCCTTCTCCTTATCCTCATCCTTCTCTTTCTCTTTATTCATCTCTCTCCCTCTTTCCTCCTTCTTTCTCTTCTTTCTTCTCCTCCTCATCTCCCTCCTTAACTCTCCATACTACCCTTCTGCACCCCCCCCCCATCCTCCATCCCCACTCCATTCCTCTTCCTTCCCCCATTCCTCCCTCATTCTTCCCTCTTTCCTCCCTCTTTCCTCCTTCTTCCCTCCCCCTTTCTTCCCCCATTCCTTCCCCTTACCTCACTCTTTCCTCCCTCTTTCCTCCCTCTTTCTTCCCCTATTCCTCCCTCTTTCTTCCCTCTTTCCTCCCTCTTTCCTCCCTCTTTCTTCCCCTATTCCTCCCTCTTTCCTCCCTTTTTCCTCCCTCTTTCTTCCCCTATTCCTCCCTCTTTCCTCCCTTTTTCCTCCCTCTTTCTTCCCTCTTTCTTCCCCTATTCCTCCCTCTTTCCTCCCTCTTTCCTCCCTCTTTCTTCCCCTATTCCTCCCTCTTTCTTCCCTCTTTCCTCCCTCTTTCCTCCCTCTTTCTTCCCCTATTCCTCCCTCTTTCCTCCCTCTTTCTTCCCCTATTCCTCCCTCTTTCCTCCCTCTTTCTTCCCCTATTCCTCCCTCTTTCCTCCCTCTTCCCTCCCCCTTTCTTCCCCCATTCCTTCCTCTTTCCTCCCTCTTTTCTCCCTCATTCCCTCTTTCCTCCCTCTTTCCTCCCTCATTCCCTCTTTCCCCCCTTCTTTCCTCTCTCTTTCCTCCCTCTTTCCTCCCACTTTCTCCCATCATCGTTCGTGCGTGTATCTTACCGACGACCATTTATAGAAAACGGGACTTGAATTCAGATAAGGAACGGAAGAGCTTTGGTGAAGATTAAGCCAATGTTTTTTTTTGTGTGTTTATTTTCAGACTTTCAGAATTTAAGGGGAATATCAGAGAGGTCTCAGTGTCTCAGTGTTAATATTTGGCGGCGGGGAATATAATCTTTATCTGTTTTTGTTGTTGCTGTTGTTGTTTTATGTCTAGCGTGATGAATGAACTGAATTATGCTAAATTTTGTTTAATTAATTTACCGGGTAAGATTTTCCTTTAATTTTCTTTACAAGATAGTTTAAGTATATAAATGAATAAATGAATGAATAAATAAAGAAATGAATAAATAAATACATTAATAAATGAATCGAGAAATAAAAAAGAAGAAAAAAGTAATAGCAATAAATAGATGAAGTGGAAAGTAAAAAATAGAAAAAGAAAAAGGTATCCTCATTTCAGCTTTCTGGTCCTATTTTTACCTTTGCTTTCGTGCACCTCTTCCGCCCACCCCCTCCCCCCTCTCCCCCCCCCTTTTACGTACCCACTCTGCGAAAAACTACTTCACCTACCCCCCCCCCTCTCTGCCAGTTCGACCTTCCCCCACCCTTCCTCCCTCCCTCCCTCCCTTCCTTCCTCCCTCCCTTCATCCCACCCTCCCTTCCTCCCTTCCTCCCTTCATCCCTCCCTCCCTCCCCCTCTTTCACCCTGCCTCCCTTCCTCCCCTCCTCCCTCCCTCCTCCCCT